TCACTCACTCACCCACTCACTCACACACTCACTCACTCACTCACCCACACACTCACCCACTCACTCACTCACCCACTCACTCACTCACCCACCCACTCACTCACTCACTCACCCACTCACTCACTCACTCACCCACACACTCACTCACTCACACACTCACTCACCCACTCACTCACTCACCCACTCACTCACCCACTCACCCACTCACTCACTCACCCACTCACTCACTCACTCACCCACTCACTCACCCACTCACTCACACACTCACTCACTCACACACTCACTCACTCACCCACTCACACACCCACTCACCCACACACTCAAACACTCGCTCACCCACTCACTCACTCACCCACTCACTCACTCACTCACCCACTCACTCACCCACTCACTCACCCATCCACACACTCACTCACCCACTCACTCACTCACTCACCCACTCACTCACCCACTCGTCCCCCACCCCCATCAGGAGTGCCACCCCTGCGGGCGGTTCGTCCCCAATCGGCGCGTCCCAGCGAGTGGCGCTGGTCGCAGCCGGCGGAGCTCTGGCACTCGATAGCGGCCCCCCTGCGCAGCCGCAAGCAAGGCGGCGCTGGTGGTGGTGGTGGTGCCGGCGGCGGTGGTGGTGGTGGTGCCGGCGGTGGTGGTGCCGGTGGTGGTGGTGGTGGTGCCGGTGGTGGTGGTGGTGGTGCCGGTGGTGGTGGTGACGTGGTCCGGGCAGCGTCGTTTAACCGCGCCTTGCGTGGGTCGTCCGTGGGTGAGCGGAGCGTGCCGGGGGGAGGTGGTTTGGTGTAGTGTGGTGCGGTGTGGTGTGGTGTGGTGCGGTGTGGTGTGGTGTGGTGCGGGGTGGTGTGGTGTGGTGCGGTGTGGTGTGGTGCGGTGTGGTGTGGTGTGGTGTGGTGTGGTGCGGTGTGGTGTGGTGGGTTGTAAATGTGGCGATAAGCGGTTGTAGCCGAGTGGCTGCAGTTTGTCACTCCGGGTTGTTGCTGTTGAGGTTTGTGGTGGTGGTGGTGGTGGTGGTTGTGGTGATGGTGGTGGTTGTGATGGTGGTTGTGATGGTGGTGGTTGTGATGGTGGTTGTGATGGTGGTGGTTATGATGGTGGTGGTTGTTATGGTGGTTGTGGTGGTGGTTGTTATGGTGGTTGTGGTGGTGGTTGTGGTGGTGGTGGTGGTGACGGTGGTGGTAGTGGTTGTGATGGTGGTGGTTGTGATGGTGGTGGTGGTTGTTATGGTGGTTGTGGTGGTGGTTGTGGTGGTGGTGACGGTGGTGGTAGTGGTTGTGATGGTGGTGGTTGTGATGGTGGTGGTGGTTGTTATGGTGGTTGTGGTGGTGGTTGTGGTGGTGGTGGTGACGGTGGTGGTAGTGGTTGTGATGGTGGTGGTTGTGATGGTGGTGATGGTGGTGGTTGTGATGGTGGTGGTTGTTATGGTGGTTGTGGTGGTGGTTGTGGTGGTGGTGACGGTGGTGGTAGTGGTTGTGATGGTGGTGGTTGTGATGGTGGTGGTTGTGATGGTGGTTGTGGTGGTGGTTGTGGTGGTGGTTGTGATGGTGGTTGCGATGGTGGTTGTGATGGTGGTTGTGATGGTGGTTGCGATGGTGGTTGTGGTGGTTGTGGTGGTTGTGTTGGTGGTGGTTGTGATGGTGGTTGTGATGGTGGTTGCTGTGGTTGTGATGGTGGTTGCGATGGTGGTTGTGATGGTGGTTGTGATGGTGGTTGTGATAGTGGTTGCTGTGGTTGTGATGGTGGTTGTGATGGTGGTTGTGATGGTGGTGGTGGTTGTGATGGTGGTTGCGATGGTGGTTGCGATGGTGGTTGCGATGGTGGTTGTGATGGTGGTGGTGGTTGTGATGGTGGTTGTGATGGTGGTTGTGATGGTGGTTGCTGTGGTTGTGACGGTGGTTGTAATGGTGGTGGTGGTTGTGATGGTGGTTGTGATGGTGGTTGTGATGGTAGTTGTGATGGTGCTTGTGATGGTGGTTGTGATGGTGGTTGCTGTGGTTGTGACGGTGGTTGTGATGGTGGTGGTGGTGGTTGTGATAGTGGTTGTGATAGTGGTTGTGATGGTGGTGGTGGTTGTGATGGTGGTTGTGATGGTGGTTGTGATGGTGGTTGCTTTGGTTGTGATGGTGGTTGTGATGGTTGTGATGGTGGTTGCGATGGTGGTTGTAATGGTGGTTGTGAGGGAAGTTGTGATGGTGGTTGCGATGGTGGTTGTGGTGGTTGTGACGGTGATTGAGTCAGTGGTTGCGATGGTGGTTGTGGTGGTTGTGGTGGTTGTAATGGTGGTTGTGGTGGTGGTTGTGATGGTGGTGGTGGTGGTTGTGATGGTGGTTGTGATGGTGGTTGTGATGGTGGTTGCTGTGGTTGTAATGGTGGTTGTGATGGTGGTTGTGATGGTGGTTGCGATGGTGATTGCGATGGTGGTTGCGATGGTGGTGGTGGTTGTGATGGTGGTTGTGATGGTGATTGAGTCAGTGGTTGCGATGGTGGTTGCGATGGTGGTTGTGGTGGTTGTGATGGTGGTTGTGATGGTGGAGGAGGCTCGTGAAGGACGCTACTGGGCAGTTGGAGGCAGTCGCCCTCCTACAACAACGGAGGGCGGAGGAGCGACGCTCACAACAACGAGCGGAGCGCCGGGTGGCTAAAGCACAGCAGGTTGGCACAGTAGGGGGCACAGGTGGTGCATCAGCCAGTCATCTCAGTCATCTTAGTCAGTCGACCCGTGGAATCTGGGTTTGCCCCGTGACCTCCTGCCAGCGAACGTTCGACACTTCACGTGATGACCTTCAAGTGCACCTAGCCTGGCACAACTGCCGTGGTGACGTCACCGCCACTTGGTGGCCAATAGCGGTTGTTGTTGTTGATGGTAGTTGTGGTTGTGATGGTGGTTGCAGTTGCAGTTAGGGCTTGATTGTGACCATGTGACATCCCCGTGACCCCTGTGACCCCCCGCCACCCCTGTGACCTCCCCGTGACCCCGTGACCTCCGTTGTGACCCCGAGCAGAGGGAGGGTTGGACGAGGCACCCCCAGAGCCGCCCCCTTCCCCAACCCTTCCAGAAAGGTGAGTGACTCACAGAGACCCGTAGACTCACCACACAGAGACCCATAGACTCACACACATAGAGACGCACAGACTCACACAGTGACCCATAGACTCACACAGTGACCCATAGACTCACACAGATACCCGTAGACTCACCACATAGAGACCCATAGACTCACCACACAGAGACCCATAGACTCACACACATAGAGACTCACAGACTCACACAGTGACCCATAGACTCACACAGATACCCATAGACACACCACACAGAGACCCATAGACTCGCACAGAGACCCATAAACTCACACAGAGACCCATAGACTCACACAGTGACCCATAGACTCACACAGAGACCCATAGACTCACACAGTGACCCATAGACTCACACAGAGACCCATAGACTCACCACACAGAGACCCATAGACTCACCACACCGAGACCCATAGACTCACCACACAGAGACCCATAGACTCACCACACAGAGACCCATAGACTCACACAGAGACCCATAGACTCACCACACAGAGACCCATAGACTCACACAGAGACCCATAGACTCACCACACAGAGACTCATAGACTCACCACACAGATACCCATAGACTCACACAGACACCCATAGACTCACACCGAGACCCATATACTCACACAGAGACCCATAGACTCACACAGAGACCCATAGACTCGCACAGAGACCCATAGACTCACCACACAGAGACCCATATATATCTCGATGTGTCTCTATGCATCTCTGCCAGCCCCGGTGACTCCAGCCGCACTCCGTCTCCCGAACCGGATCCGGCTCCAGGCCGACAATCTCGCTACCTCCTGTCCGGTACCTCCTCCTCCTCCTCTTCCTCCTCCTCCACCTCCCCCTCCTCCTCCCCCTCCTCCTCCTCCTTCCCTCCCCCTCCTCCTCCTTCCCTCCTCCTCCTCCTCTTCCTCCTCCTCCACCTCCCCCTCCTCCTCCTCCTTCCCTCCCCCTCCTCCTCCCCCTCCTCCTCCTCCTCCTCCTCGTCATTCCCCCCCTCCCCCCTCCTCTCCCTCCTCCCCCTCCCCCTCCTCCTCCTCTTCCTCCTCCTCCCCCTCTCTCTCCCCCCTCCTCCTCCCCCCCCTCCTCCTCTCCCTCCTCCCCCTCTCCTCCTCTCCCTCCCCCCCTCCCCCTCCTCCTCCCCCCCCTCCTCCTCTCCCTCCTCCTCCTCTTCCCCCTCCTCCTCCACCTCCTCCTCCTCCTTCCCTCCCCCTCCTCCTCCACCTCCCCCTCCTCCTCCTCATTCCCCCCCCTCCCCCCTCCTCTCCCTCCTCCCTCCGCCCCTCCTCCCCCCCCCCCCTCCTACTCTCCCTCCTCCCCCTCTCCCTCTCCTCCTCTCCCCCCCTCTCCCCCCCCCTTCTCTCCCTCCCCCCACTCCTCCTCCTCTCCCCCCCCACTCCCTCCCCCTCCTCCACCTCCTCCCCCCCCTTCCTCCTCCCCCTCCCCCACCTCCTCCCCCCTCCTCCTCCTACCTCCCCCCTTCTCCGTCATCATTGTCATAATCAATATCGTCGTCGTCGTCATCATCATTGTTGCAATCGTAGATCATCGCCATCGCCATCGTCGTCGTCATCGTCACAATCCCCCGGGCTGGCGCTGCCACGCTCACCTCGCCCCCCCCCCCCCCCCCCCCCGGCCCCCCCCCCCCCCCCCCCCCCCAGAGCCGCTGTACCAGCGCTACCGCGAGACCACCGCCACGCGGGAGATCGGCCGCCAGCGCCGAGCCCCCTCCTTCAACAAGCGCGACTCGGCGCCACGGCCCGGCGCGCCGCACCCGGCGAGCTCCGGCGTCGCACGGCCGCCGGAGCCACCGCGGCCCCTGCCGGAGCCACCGCGGCCCCTGCCGGAACCGCCCACGGGCCCGGCGCCGTCGCCGGCGGCGGCACCGACGCCGCCGACGCCGGCGCCGCCGCCGCCGCCGGCGCCGCCGACGGTGGTGATGGTGCCGGTCCCTGGCGCCACGTCGACGCTGTGGCAGGATCTGCCGCACGTGCGGGAGAGCGGCCTCCTGGAGGAGCTCAGCAGCGACGACATCAAGCGGCAGGAGGTGGGGAGCTGCCGCGTGCTTACCCTGACTCTCTGTGTGTGTCTGTGTGTGTGTTGATGTAGCCACGTGTGTGTGTGTGTGTGTTGATGTAGCCACGTGTGTGTGTGTGTGTTGATGTAGCCACGTGTGTGTGTCTGTGTTGATGTAGCCACGTGTGTGTGTGTGTGTTGGTGTAGCCACGTGTGTGTGTGTGTTGATGTAGCCACGTGTGTGTGTGTGTGTTGATGTAGCCACGTGTGTGTGTGTGTGTGTTGACGTACCCGCGTGTGTGTGTGTGTGTGTTGATGTAGCCACGTGTGTGTGTGTGTGTTGATGTAGCCACGTGTGTGTGTGTGTGTGTTGATGTAGCCACGTGTGTGTTGGTGTGTTGATGTAGCCACGTGTGTGTGTGTGTGTTGATGTAGCCACGTGTGTGTGTGTGTGTGTTGACGTACCCGCGTGTGTGTGTGTGTGTGTTGATGTAGCCACGTGTGTGTGTGTGTGTTGATGTAGCCACGTGTGTGTGTGTGTGTTGATGTAGCCACGTGTGTGTGTGTGTGTTGATGTAGCCACGTGTGTGTGTGTGTGTTGATGTAGCCACGTGTGTGTGTGTGTGTTGATGTAGCCACGTGTGTGTGTGTGTGTTGATGTAGCCCACGTGTGTGTGTGTGTGTTGATGTAGCCACGTGTGTGTGTGTGTGTTGATGTAGCCACGTGTGTGTGTGTGTGTGTTGACGTACCCGCGTGTGTGTGTGTGTGTGTTGATGTAGCCACGTGTGTGTGTGTGTGTTGATGTAGCCACGTGTGTGTGCGCGTGTGTTGATGTAGCCACGTGTGTGTGTGTGTGTGTTGATGTAGCCACGTGTGTGTGTGTGTGTGTGTTGATGTAGCCACGTGTGTGTGCGCGTGTGTTGATGTAGCCACGTGTGTGTGTGTGTGTGTTGACGTACCCGCGTGTGTGTGTGTGTGTGTGTTGATGTAGCCACGTGTGTGTGTGTGTGTTGGTGTGTTGATGTAGCCACGTGTGTGTGTGTGTTGATGTAGCCCACGTGTGTGTGTGTGTTGATGTAGCCACGTGTGTGTGTGTGTGTTGATGTAGCCACGTGTGTGTGTGTGTGTGTGTTGATGTAGCCACGTGTGTGTGTGTGTGTTGATGTAGCCACGTGTGTGTGTGTGTTGATGTAGCCACGTGTGTGTGTGTGTGTTGACGTAGCCCACGTGTGTGTGTGTGTGTGTTGATGTAGCCACGTGTGTGTGTGTGTGTTGACGTAGCCCACGTGTGTGTGTGTGTGTGTTGGTGTGTTGATGTAGCCACGTGTGTGTGTGTGTTGATGTGTTGATGTAGCCACGTGTGTGTGTGTGTGTTGAGGTAGCCACGTGTGTGTGTGTGTGTGTTGATGTAGCCACGTGTGTGTGTGTGTGTTGATGTGTTGATGTAGCCACGTGTGTGTGTGTGTGTTGAGGTAGCCACGTGTGTGTGTGTGTGTGTGTTGATGTAGCCACGTGTGTGTGTGTGTGTTGATGTAGCCACGTGTGTGTGTGTGTTGAGGTAGCCACGTGTGTGTGTGTGTGTTGATGTAGCCACGTGTGTGTGTGTGTGTTGAGGTAGCCACGTGTGTGTGTGTGTGTGTTGATGTAGCCCACGTGTGTGTGTGTGTGTGTTGAGGTAGCCACGTGTGTGTGTGTGTGTTGATGTAGCCACGTGTGTGTGTGTGTGTTGACGTAGCCACGTGTGTGTGTGTGTGTGTTGACGTACCCACGTGTGTGTGTGTGTGTTGATGTAGCCACGTGTGTGTGTGTGTGTTGATGTAGCCACGTGTGTGTGTGTGTGTGTTGATGTAGCCACGTGTGTGTGTGTGTGTTGATGTAGCCACGTGTGTGTGTGTGTGTTGATGTAGCCACGTGTGTATGTGTGTTGGTGTGTTGATGTAGCCACGTGTGTGTGTGTGTTGATGTAGCCACGTGTGTGTGTGTGTGTTGAGGTAGCCACGTGTGTGTGTGTGTGTGTTGATGTAGCCACGTGTGTGTGTGTTGGTGTAGCCCACGTGTGTGTGTGTGTGTGTTGATGTAGCCCACGTGTGTGTGTGTGTGTGTTGATGTAGCCACGTGTGTGTGTGTGTGTTGATGTAGCCCACGTGTGTGTGTGTGTGTTGATGTAGCCACGTGTGTGTGTGTTAATGTAGCCACGTGTGTGTGTGTGTGTTGATGTAGCCACGTGTGTGTGTGTGTGTTGACGTAGCCACGTGTGTGTGTGTGTGTGTTGACGTACCCACGTGTGTGTGTGTGTGTTGATGTAGCCACGTGTGTGTGTGTGTGTGTTGATGTAGCCACGTGTGTGTGTGTGTGTGTTGATGTAGCCACGTGTGTGTGTGTGTGTTGATGTAGCCACGTGTGTGTGTGTGTGTTGATGTAGCCCACGTGTGTATGTGTGTTGGTGTGTTGATGTAGCCACGTGTGTGTGTGTGTTGATGTAGCCACGTGTGTGTGTGTGTTGATGTAGCCACGTGTGTGTGTGTGTGTGTTGGTGTGTTGATGTAGCCCACGTGTGTGTGTGTGTGTGTGTGTTGATGTAGCCACGTGTGTGTGTGTTGATGTAGCCCACGTGTGTGTGTGTTGATGTAGCCACGTGTGTGTGTGTGTTGATGTACCCACGTGTGTGTGTGTGTGTTGGTGTAGCCACGTGTGTGTCTGTGTGTGTTGATGTACCCACGTGTGTGTGTGTGTGTTGATGTACCCACGTGTGTGTGTGTGTGTTGATGTAGCCACGTGTGTGTGTGTGTGTTGATGTAGCCACGTGTGTGTGTGTGTTGATGTAGCAACGTGTGTGTGTGTGTGTTGATGTAGCCACGTGTGTGTGTGTGTGTGTTGATGTAGCCACGTGTGTGTGTGTGTGTTGATGTAGCCACGTGTGTGTGTGTGTGTTGATGTAGCCCACGTGTGTATGTGTGTTGGTGTGTTGATGTAGCCACGTGTGTGTGTGTGTTGATGTAGCCACGTGTGTGTGTGTGTTGATGTAGCCACGTGTGTGTGTGTGTGTTGGTGTGTTGATGTAGCCCACGTGTGTGTGTGTGTGTTGATGTAGCCACGTGTGTGTGTGTGTTGATGTAGCCCACGTGTGTGTGTGTTGATGTAGCCACGTGTGTGTGTGTGTTGATGTACCCACGTGTGTGTGTGTGTGTGTGTTGGTGTAGCCACGTGTGTGTCTGTGTGTGTTGATGTACCCACGTGTGTGTGTGTGTGTTGATGTACCCACGTGTGTGTGTGTGTGTTGATGTAGCCACGTGTGTGTGTGTGTTGATGTAGCCACGTGTGTGTGTGTGTGTGTTGATGTAGCCACGTGTGTGTGTGTGTGTTGATGTAGCCACGTGTGTGTGTGTGTGTTGATGTAGCCACGTGTGTGTGTGTGTTGATGTAGATACGTGTGTGTGTGTGTTGATGTAGCCACGTGTGTGTGTGTGTGTTGATGTAGCCACGTGTGTGTGTGTGTGTGTTGATGTAGCCACGTGTGTGTGTGTGTGTGTTGATGTAGCCACGTGTGTGTGTGTGTGTGTTGATGTAGCCACGTGTGTGTGTGTTGATGTAGCCCACGTGTGTATGTGTGTTGGTGTGTTGATGTAGCCACGTGTGTGTGTGTGTGTTGATGTAGCCACGTGTGTGTGTGTGTTGATGTAGCCACGTGTGTGTGTGTGTGTTGGTGTGTTGATGTAGCCCACGTGTGTGTGTGTGTGTTGATGTAGCCACGTGTGTGTGTGTGTTGATGTAGCCCACGTGTGTGTGTGTTGATGTAGCCACGTGTGTGTGTGTGTTGATGTACCCACGTGTGTGTGTGTGTGTTGGTGTAGCCACGTGTGTGTCTGTGTGTGTTGATGTACCCACGTGTGTGTGTGTGTGTGTTGATGTACCCACGTGTGTGTGTGTGTGTTGATGTAGCCACGTGTGTGTGTGTGTGTGTTGATGTAGCCACGTGTGTGTGTGTGTGTGTTGATGTAGCCACGTGTGTGTGTGTGTGTTGATGTAGCCACGTGTGTGTGTGTGTGTTGATGTAGCCACGTGTGTGTGTGTGTTGATGTAGCTACGTGTGTGTGTGTGTTGATGTAGCCACGTGTGTGTGTGTGTGTTGATGTAGCCACGTGTGTGTGTGTGTGTGTTGATGTAGCCACGTGTGTGTGTGTGTGTTGATGTAGCCACGTGTGTGTGTGTGTGTTGATGTAGCCACGTGTGTGTGTGTGTGTGTGTTGATGTAGCCACGTGTGTGTGTGTGTGTTGATGTAGCCACGTGTGTGTGTGTGTTGATGTAGCCACGTGTGTGTGTGTGTTGATGTAGCCACGTGTGTGTGTGTGTGTGTTGATGTAGCCACGTGTGTGTGTGTGTGTTGACGTAGCCCACGTGTGTGTGTGTGTTGAGGTAGCCACGTGTGTGTGTGTGTGTGTTGATGTAGCCCACGTGTGTGTGTGTGTGTGTGTTGATGTAGCCACGTGTGTGTGTGTGTGTGCGTTGATGTAGCCCACGTGTGTGTGTGTGTGTTGATGTAGCCACGTGTGTGTGTGTGTGTTGATGTAGCCACGTGTGTGTGTGTGTGTGTTGATGTAGCCACGTGTGTGTGTGTGTGTTGATGTAGCCACGTGTGTGTGTGTGTGTTGATGTAGCCACGTGTGTGTGTGTGTTGATGTAGCCACGTGTGTGTGTGTGTGTGTTGATGTAGCCACGTGTGTGTGTGTGTGTGTTGACGTAGCCCACGTGTGTGTGTGTGTTGAGGTAGCCACGTGTGTGTGTGTGTGTGTTGATGTAGCCCACGTGTGTGTGTGTGTGTTGATGTAGCCACGTGTGTGTGTGTGTGTGTGTTGAGGTAGCCACGTGTGTGTGTGTTGACGTACCCGCGTGTGTGTGTGTGTGTGTTGAGGTAGCCACGTGTGTGTGTGTGTTGATGTACCCACGTGTGTGTGTGTGTTGAGGTAGCTACGTGTGTGTGTGTGTGTTGATGTACCCACGTGTGTGTGTGTGTGTGTTGATGTAGCCCACGTGTGTGTGTGTGTGTTGATGTACCCACGTGTGTGTGTGTGTGTTGAGGTAGCTACGTGTGTGTGTGTGTGTTGATGTACCCACGTGTGTGTGTGTGTGTTGATGTAGCCACGTGTGTGTGTGTGTGTGTTGATGTAGCCACGTGTGTGTGTGTGTGTTGATGTAGCCCACGTGTGTATGTGTGTTGGTGTGTTGATGTAGCCACGTGTGTGTGTGTGTTGATGTAGCCACGTGTGTGTGTGTGTTGATGTAGCCACGTGTGTGTGTGTGTGTTGGTGTGTTGATGTAGCCCACGTGTGTGTGTGTGTGTTGATGTAGCCACGTGTGTGTGTGTGTTGATGTAGCCCACGTGTGTGTGTGTTGATGTAGCCACGTGTGTGTGTGTGTTGATGTACCCACGTGTGTGTGTGTGTGTTGGTGTAGCCACGTGTGTGTCTGTGTGTGTTGATGTACCCACGTGTGTGTGTGTGTGTTGATGTACCCACGTGTGTGTGTGTGTGTTGATGTAGCCACGTGTGTGTGTGTGTTGATGTAGCCACGTGTGTGTGTGTGTGTGTTGATGTAGCCACGTGTGTGTGTGTGTGTTGATGTAGCCACGTGTGTGTGTGTGTGTTGATGTAGCCACGTGTGTGTGTGTGTTGATGTAGATACGTGTGTGTGTGTGTTGATGTAGCCACGTGTGTGTGTGTGTGTTGATGTAGCCACGTGTGTGTGTGTGTGTGTTGATGTAGCCACGTGTGTGTGTGTGTGTGTTGATGTAGCCACGTGTGTGTGTGTGTGTGTTGATTTAGCCACGTGTGTGTGTGTTGATGTAGCCCACGTGTGTATGTGTGTTGGTGTGTTGATGTAGCCACGTGTGTGTGTGTGTGTTGATGTAGCCACGTGTGTGTGTGTGTTGATGTAGCCACGTGTGTGTGTGTGTGTTGGTGTGTTGATGTAGCCCACGTGTGTGTGTGTGTGTTGATGTAGCCACGTGTGTGTGTGTGTTGATGTAGCCCACGTGTGTGTGTGTTGATGTAGCCACGTGTGTGTGTGTGTTGATGTACCCACGTGTGTGTGTGTGTGTGTGTTGGTGTAGCCACGTGTGTGTCTGTGTGTGTTGATGTACCCACGTGTGTGTGTGTGTGTGTTGATGTACCCACGTGTGTGTGTGTGTGTTGATGTAGCCACGTGTGTGTGTGTGTGTGTTGATGTAGCCACGTGTGTGTGTGTGTGTGTTGATGTAGCCACGTGTGTGTGTGTGTGTTGATGTAGCCACGTGTGTGTGTGTGTGTTGATGTAGCCACGTGTGTGTGTGTGTTGATGTAGCTACGTGTGTGTGTGTGTTGATGTAGCCACGTGTGTGTGTGTGTGTTGATGTAGCCACGTGTGTGTGTGTGTGTGTTGATGTAGCCACGTGTGTGTGTGTGTGTTGATGTAGCCACGTGTGTGTGTGTGTGTTGATGTAGCCACGTGTGTGTGTGTGTGTTGATGTAGCCACGTGTGTGTGTGTGTGTTGATGTAGCCACGTGTGTGTGTGTGTTGATGTAGCCACGTGTGTGTGTGTGTTGATGTAGCCACGTGTGTGTGTGTGTGTGTTGATGTAGCCACGTGTGTGTGTGTGTGTTGACGTAGCCCACGTGTGTGTGTGTGTTGAGGTAGCCACGTGTGTGTGTGTGTGTTGATGTAGCCCACGTGTGTGTGTGTGTGTGTGTTGATGTAGCCACGTGTGTGTGTGTGTGTGTGCGTTGATGTAGCCCACGTGTGTGTGTGTGTGTTGATGTAGCCACGTGTGTGTGTGTGTGTTGATGTAGCCACGTGTGTGTGTGTGTGTGTTGATGTAGCCACGTGTGTGTGTGTGTGTTGATGTAGCCACGTGTGTGTGTGTGTGTGTTGATGTAGCCACGTGTGTGTGTGTGTTGATGTAGCCACGTGTGTGTGTGTGTGTGTTGATGTAGCCACGTGTGTGTGTGTGTGTGTTGACGTAGCCCACGTGTGTGTGTGTGTTGAGGTAGCCACGTGTGTGTGTGTGTGTGTTGATGTAGCCCACGTGTGTGTGTGTGTGTTGATGTAGCCACGTGTGTGTGTGTGTGTTGAGGTAGCCACGTGTGTGTGTGTTGACGTACCCGCGTGTGTGTGTGTGTGTGTTGAGGTAGCCACGTGTGTGTGTGTGTTGATGTACCCACGTGTGTGTGTGTGTTGAGGTAGCTACGTGTGTGTGTGTGTGTTGATGTACCCACGTGTGTGTGTGTGTGTGTTGATGTAGCCCACGTGTGTGTGTGTGTGTTGATGTACCCACGTGTGTGTGTGTGTGTTGAGGTAGCTACGTGTGTGTGTGTGTGTTGATGTACCCACGTGTGTGTGTGTGTGTTGATGTAGCCACGTGTGTGTGTGTGTGTGTGTTGATGTAGCCGTGTGTGTGTGTGTTGATGTAGCCCACGTGTGTGTGTGTGTGTGTTGACGTACCCACGTGTGTGTGTGTGTTGACGTAGCCACGTGTGTGTGTGTGTTGAGGTAGCCACGTGTGTGTGTCTGTGTGTTGATGTAGCCACGTGTGTGTGTGTGTTGATGTAGCCACGTGTGTGTGTGTGTGTTGAGGTAGCCACGTGTGTGTGTGTGTGTGTTGATGTAGCCCACGTGTGTGTGTGTTGATGTAGCCACGTGTGTGTGTGTGTTGATGTAGCCACGTGTGTGTGTGTGTGTGTTGATGTAGCCACGTGTGTGTGTGTGTTGATGTAGCCACGTGTGTGTGTGTGTGTGTGTTGATGTAGCCACGTGTGTGTGTGTGTTGATGTAGCCACGTGTGTGTGTGTTGATGTAGCCCACGTGTGTGTGTGTTGATGTAGCCACGTGTGTGTGTGTGTGTTGATGTAGCCACGTGTGTGTGTGTGTGTTGACGTAGCCCACGTGTGTGTGTGTGTTGATGTAGCCCACGTGTGTGTGTGTGTTGATGTAGCCACGTGTGTGTGTGTGTTGATGTACCCACGTGTGTGTGTGTGTGTGTGTTGGTGTAGCCACGTGTGTGTCTGTGTGTGTTGATGTACCCACGTGTGTGTGTGTGTTGATGTACCCACGTGTGTGTGTGTGTGTTTATGTAGCCACGTGTGTGTGTGTGTTGATGTACCCACGTGTGTGTTGATGTAGCCACGTGTGTGTGTGTTGATGTAGCCCACGTGTGTGTGTGTGTGTTGATGTAGCCACGTGTGTGTGTGTGTTGATGTACCCACGTGTGTGTGTGTGTGTTGAGGTAGCCACGTGTGTGTGTGTGTGTTGAGGTAGCCACGTGTGTGTGTGTGTTGATGTAGCCACGTGTGTGTGTGTGTGTGTTGATGTAGCCACGTGTGTGTGTGTGTGTGTTGATGTAGCCACGTGTGTGTGTGTGTTGATGTAGCCACGTGTGTGTGTGTGTTGATGTAGCCACGTGTGTGTGTGTGTGTTGATGTAGCCACGTGTGTGTGTGTGTGTTGATGTAGCCACGTGTGTGTGTGTGTGTAGATGTAGCCACGTGTGTGTGTGTGTGTGTTGATGTAGCCACGTGTGTGTGTGTGTGTGTTGATGTAGCCACGTGTGTGTGTGTGTGTGTTGATGTAGCCACGTGTGTGTGTGTGTGTGTTGATGTAGCCACGTGTGTGTGTGTGTGTGTGTTGATGTAGCCACGTGTGTGTGTGTGTTGATGTAGCCACGTGTGTGTGTGTGTGTGTGTTGATGTAGCCACGTGTGTGTGTGTGTGTTGACGTAGCCCACGTGTGTGTGTGTGTTGAGGTAGCCACGTGTGTGTGTGTGTTGATGTAGCCCACGTGTGTGTGTGTGTGTTGATGTAGCCACGTGTGTGTGTGTGTGTGTTGAGGTAGCCACGTGTGTGTGTGTTGACGTACCCGCGTGTGTGTGTGTGTGTGTTGAGGTAGCCACGTGTGTGTGTGTGTTGATGTACCCACGTGTGTGTGTGTGTATTGAGGTAGCTACGTGTGTGTGTGTGTGTGTGTTGATGTACCCACGTGTGTGTGTGTGTTGATGTAGCCCACGTGTGTGTGTGTGTTGATGTACCCACGTGTGTGTGTGTGTGTTGAGGTAGCTACGTGTGTGTGTGTGTGTGTTGATGTACCCACGTGTGTGTGTGTGTGTTGATGTAGCCACGTGTGTGTGTGTGTGTTGATGTAGCCGTGTGTGTGTGTGTTGATGTAGCCCACGTGTGTGTGTGTGTTGACGTACCCACGTGTGTGTGTGTGTTGACGTAGCCACGTGTGTGTGTGTGTTGACGTAGTCCACGTGTGTGTGTGTGTGTTGACGTACCCACGTGTGTGTGTGTTGATGTAGCCCACGTGTGTGTGTGTGTGTTGACGTAACCCACGTGTGTGTGTGTGTTGACGTACCCACGTGTGTGTGTGTGTTGACGTACCCACGTGTGTGTGTGTGTGTGTTGAGGTAGCCCACGTGTGTGTGTGTGTGTTGACGTAGCCACGTGTGTGTGTGTGTGTGTTGACGTAGCCACGTGTGTGTGTGTGTGTTGACGTAGCCACGTGTGTGTGTGTGTGTGTTGACGTAGCCACGTGTGTGTGTGTGTGTGTTGACGTAGCCACGTGTGTGTGTGTGCGCGTTGACGTAGCCACGTGTGTGTGTGTGTGTGTTGATGTACCCACGTGTGTGTGTGCGCGTTGACCTCCTCGCGCGTGTGACGCAGGCGCTCTTCGAGCTGGTGATCTCGGAGGCGTCCTACCTGCGCAGCCTGGCGCTCGTCAGCGACGTCTTCCTCTCGTCAGCCGCCCTCGCCGCCGCCATGGAGCCGCGCGACCACCGCGTCCTCTTCTCGAACCTCGCCGAGGTCAAGGAGGCCAGCGCCAGGTGAAGGGGTCGTGGCCGGGGTCGGGCGAAGGGGTCGCGGCCGGGGTCGGGCGAAGGGGTCGCGGCCGGGGTCAGGCGAAGGGTTCGTGGCCTGGGGTCGGGTGAAGGGGTCGTGGCCTGGGGTCGGGTGAAGGGGTCGTGGCCTGGGGTCAGGCGAAGGAGTCCTGGCCAGGGTTAGGTGAAGGGGTCGCAGCTGGGGTCGGGTGAAGGGGTCGTTGCCTGGGGTCAGGCGAAGGAGTCGTGGCCTGGGGTCGGGTGAAGGGGTCGTGGCCTGGGGTCGGGTGAAGGGGTCGTGGCCTGGGGTCGGGTGAAGGGGTCGTGGCCTGGGGTCGGGTGAAGGGGTCGTGGCCTGGGGTCAGGCGAAGGAGTCCTGGCCAGGGTTAGGTGAAGGGGTCGCAGCTGGGGTCGGGCGAAGGGGTCGTGGCCTGGGGTCGGGCGAAGGGGTCGCGGCTGGGGTCAAGTCAAGGGGTCGCAGCTGGGGTCAGGTGAAATGGGCCGTGGTCAGGTGAAGGGGTCGTGGTCGTGGTCAGGTGAAGGGGTCGCGGCCGGGGTCAGGCAAGGTCATGGCCTGGGGTTAAGCGAGGTCGATAAAGTGGTCACGACTTCTTCAGCAAGTGAGCTGCTTACCGAGCGAGCTGACTACCATGGGACCGAGTTAGCGAGCTGCTCACTGGGCAAACAAGCCAGTGAGCTGCTCACCTGGTGAGCTGCTCACCCAGTGAGCTGCTCACCGGGTGAGCTGCTCACTGGGCAAACAAGCCAGTGAGCCGGTGAGGAGCTCACCGGGTGAGCCATTGAGATGCTCACCGGGTGAGCTGGCGAGCTGCTCACCGGGTGAGCTGGCGAGCTGCTCACCGGGTGAGCTGGCGAGCTGCTCACCGGGTGAGCTGGTGAGCTCCTCACCGGGTGAGCTAGTGAGCTCCTCACCGTGTGAGCTGGTGAGCTCCTCACCGGGTGAGCTAGCGAGCTGCTCACCGGGTGAGCTAGTGAGCTGCTCACCGGGTGAGCTGGCGAGCTCCTCACCGGGTGAGCTAGTGAGCTGCTCACCGGGTGAGCTGGCGAGCTGCTCACCGGGTGAGCTAGTGAGCTCCTCACCGGGTGAGCTAGTGAGCTGCTCACCGGGTGAGCTGGCGAGCTGCTCACCGGGTGAGCTGGTGAGCTGCTCACCGGGTGAGCTAGTGAGCTGCTCACCGGGTGAGCTGGCGAGCTGCTCACCGGGTGAGCTGGCGAGCTGCTCACCGGGTGAGCTGGCGGGCTGCTCACCGGGTGAGCTGGCGAGCTGCTCACCGGGTGAGCTCCTCACTGGGTGAGCTAGCGAGCTCCTCACCGGGTGAGCTGCTCACTGGGTGAGCTCCTCACCGGGTGAGCTCCTCACCGTGCGTGCGTGCGAGGAGCAGGTTCCTGCTGGAGCTGGAGGACCGCGTGGACGAGTCTCCGCTCATCGCAGACGTGTGCGACATCGTGCTGAGCCACGCACAGCGCGGATTCCGTGCCTACGTCCCCTACGTGACCAACCAGCCCTACCAGGAGCAAGTCTACCAGCGCCTCATGTGAGCCACCACCGTCAGCATCAGCAGCATCATCATCAGCAGCATCAGCTCCACCATCATCATCATCAGGAGCAGCACCATCATCATCTGCACAATCGTCATCAGCACCACCGTCATCAGCATCATCATCAGCACCATCAGCACCATCATCATTATCATTAGTATCAGCACCATCATCATCATCATCGTCAACAGCATCATCATCAGCAGCATCGTTGTCATCAGTATCAGCACCATCAACATTAGCACCATCATCATCGTCAACAGCATCATCAGCAGCATCATTGTCATCAGTATCAGCACCATCAACATTAGCACCATCACCATCATCATCGTCAACAGCATCATCATCAGCAGCATCATTGTCATCAGTATCAGCACCATTAACATTAGCACCATCATCATCATCGTTAACAGCATCATCATCAGCAGCTGCATTGTCATCAGTATCAGCACCATCAGCATTACCACCATCATCATCATCATCGTCAACAGCAACATCATCAGCAGCATCATTGTCATCAGTATCAGCACCATCAACATTAGCACCATCATCATCATCATCATCGTCAACAGCAACATCATCAGCAGCATCATTGTCATCAGTATCAGCACCATCAACATTAGCACCATCATCATCATCGTCAACAGCATCATCATCAGCAGCATCATTGTCATCAGTATCAGCACCATCAACATTAGCACCATCACCATTATCATCGTCAACAGCATCATCATCAGCAGCATCATTGTCATCAGTATCAGCACCATCAACATTAGCACCATCATCATCATCGTCAACAGCATCATCATCAGCAGCTGCATTGTCATCAGTATCAGCACCATCATCATCATCGTAAACAGCATCATCAGCAGCAGCATCATTGTCATCAGTATCAGCACCATCAACATTAGCACCATCATCATCGTCATCATCGTCAACAGCATCATCATCAGCAGCATCATTGTCATCAGTATCAGCACCATCAACATTAGCACCATCACCATCATCATCGTCAACAGCATCATCATCAGCAGCATCATTGTCATCAGTGTCAGCACCATCAACATTAGCACCATCATCATCGTCAACAGCATCATCATCAGCAGCATCATTGTCATCAGTATCAGCACCATCAACATTAGCACCATCACCATTATCATCGTCAACAGCATCATCATCAGCAGCATCATTGTCATCAGTATCAGCACCATCAACATTAGCACCATCATCATCATCGTCAACAACATCATCATCAGCAGCTGCATTGTCATCAGTATCAGCACCATCATCATCATCGTAAACAGCATCATCAGCAGCAGCATCATTGTCATCAGTATCAGCACCATCAACATTAGCACCATCATCATCGTCATCATCGTCAACAGCATCATCATCAGCAGCATCATTGTCATCAGTATCAGCACCATCAACATTAGCACCATCATCATCATCATCGTCACCCCCCCCGCCCACCTACCCAAAGTCCCACCCACCCACCGCACCCCCCCCCCATCAACCCCCTCACCCCCCCAACCCACCCGACTCACCCACGCCCCCCACCCCTCACCCTTCTCCAACCCCCCCACCTCCCCCCCCACCAACCCCGCAACCCTTCCCCACGACCGACCCCCACCCCCCACCCTCCCCCCCCACCCCCCACCACCCCCACCCCCCCCCCACCAACTCCCCAACCCTTCCCCACCCCCCACCCTTCCCCCCCACCCCCCAACCCCCTCACACCCCCACCCCCCCCCACCAACCCCCCAACCTTTCCCCCCACCCACCCCCCACCCCCCCAACTCCCGACCCTTCCCCACGACCGGCCCCCACCCTCCCCTTCCACCCTCCCCCCCTCACCCCCGCCCCCCACCCCTCACCCCTCTCCACCCCCCCCACCCCGCCACCCCCCCCCACCAACCCCCCAACCCTCCCTAACGACCGGCCCCCACCCCCCACCCCCCCCCCCCCCCCGCAGGCAGGAGAGTGTACAGTTTGCCAGCGTCGTGTCGCGCCTGGTGGAGGATCGTCGCTGTGAGCGACTCCCCTTCACCTCCTTCCTCATCCTGCCCTTCCAGAGGATCACGCGGCTCAAGCTGCTCGTGGAGGTGAGAGACGTGGCAGACAGACGTGTCACCTGTGGACGTGTCACCTCTAGATGTGTCACCTGTGGATGTGTCACCTGTGGATGTGTCATCTGAGGATGTGTCACCTGTGGATGTGTCACATCTAGACGTGTCACCTCTAGATGTGTCACCTCTAGATGTGTCACCTCTAGATGTGTCATCTCTAGATGTGTCACCTGTGGATGTGTCACCTGTGGATGTGTCATCTGAGGATGTGTCACCTGTGGATGTGTCACCTCTAGACGTGTCACCTCTAGATGTGTCACCTCTAGATGTGTCACCTGTGGACGTGTCACCTGTGGCTGTGTCACCTGTGGATGTGTCACCTGTGGATGTGTCATCTGAGGATGTGTCACCTGTGGATGTGTCACCTCTAGACGTGTCACCTCTAGATGTGTCACCTGTGGATGTGTCACCTGTGGACGTGTCACCTGTGGCTGTGTCACCTGTGGACGTGTCACCTGTGGATGTGTCACCTCTAGATGTGTCACTTGTTGATGTGTCACCTCTAGATGTGTCACCTGTGGACGTGTCACCTGTGGATGTGTCACCTGTGGATGTGTCACCTGTGGACGTGTCACCTGTGGATGTGTCACTTACAGATGTGTCACCTGTG